AATAGAGTATCCAAGGAACACACAATGGAATGGGGGGTGGACGTCACATCCTAGAGGGGTCCGGGGGTATAATCCCCCGGGAAGAATTTTTTGAACATTTTAAAGTAAAATGCTTCAATCTGGTGCACTTTGAGCAGGATTACTACTAGATCTAGGGCAGTGCTTCTCAAAGTGTGGTCCGCGGACCACTGGTGGTCCGTGAGCGCCCCCTAGTGGTCCGCGAGTATATTGGTAACATTTCACATTTGAAATAAATAAATACATTTAAGTTTTCCGCACTCTCGCGGGAATATCTCCGCAATGGAGCGAGGTTAAGTTTCACTTTCGATTACATGATATAGCCCAGCGCAACACCTTCATCACACATGTTGCCACTTGTTTGTACCATTTTCAGGCGATTTGTAATCTGTTCTAGAAAAACGATGTGTTTTTTGATATTTGTGGAGTTAGGTGGTCCGCGAGTGTTTTTTTATTGGTTAAGTGGTCCTTGGAATGAAAAAGTTTGAGAAACACTGATCTAGGGGGTACAACTCTAAACACCCATATAAAAAAGATCGGTTTACATTTTAATAATCAAATAAGTAGGTGAACATAACCAATAACCTACCATAGCCAATAACAAATAAATGTAACTTATTTTATTTTGTTGTTCTTTCATATCTTATTTGACCTATTAACATTTATTTATTCGTGTATATTTTTTTATCTCTCCAGTTTAAAACGATATTTTTGGTTTACTGTCCTATAGTATACATTGAAATGATTTCAAACCTTTTTATCCCAATAATTATAAAGGAGTGCCTTGGAAATATTTTTTACATAAATTGTGATCAAAACGTTTGAGACCCACTGAGACAACTTAGACTAAAGTGAACTATCTAAACACTGAGAGTCCTTTACCTCACTGAGCTGTAGTTATCAGCCTCTCAGTCTGACTGGAGAGGACTCTCCCTCCACATTATTGTAGAAACATCTTCTTCTTATATCCGTTAGAGCAGCTAGCACCAGATTCTAATAACAACAGCGCTGGTACCGGTGCACCCTCCCTTTCTCCCACGCTCACTCGCACTTTGGCTGTGAGCTAGGGGCACCAGATAAGCCAACATCCCCCATTTTCATCACTTACAGCGCCCATCGTACAGGGCAAATGAAAAGTGTAACCGGGATGAAAAGGGTGTTACATTTACTTAATTATGAATATTGTTACATCAAGGCCGAAAATTAGGATGAGCGCCAATGGTCAAAAATGTTTTTCTACCAGCGCAGAGCCCCCACAGATCTGGCGCCCTAGGCGAACATCTATAACGCCAGTGCTACGGGCCAGGCCAGCCCTGTTAGTGAGGACTCGAGTAGCGGCGTTCTGAATCAGCTGCAGCTTTCTAATATATTTATTAGTGAGACCTGTGAAGACACCATTGCAGTAGTCCAGTCTACTGAAGATAAAAGCATTGACAAGTTTTTCCAAATCCTGCTGTGACATTAGTCTTTTAATCCTAGATATGTTCTTTAGGTGATAGTAGGCTGATTTAGTAACTGTTTTAATGTGACTGTTGAAACTCAGGTCAGAGTCCATGACTTCACCTAGATTTCTGGCTTTATCTGTTGTTTTGAACATTGCAGACTGAAGCTCAGCGCTAACTTTTATACGTTCTGACTTGGCTCCAAAAACCATTACCTCAGTTTTATCTTTGTTTAATTGGAGAAAGTTCTGACACATCCAGTCATTGATTTGTTCAATGCACTTACTCAGTGTTTGAATTGGAGCATAGTCTCCTGGTGAAATTGTTACGTACATTTGCGTGTCATCTGCATAGCTATGGTAACTTATTTAGTTGTTTTTCATTATCTGAGCCAGTGGTAGCATGTAGATGTTAAAGAGAAGAGGCCCCAAGATGGAGCCTTGAGGAACCCCACATGTCATATTTGTCAACTCAGATGTGTATTTACCTATAGAAACAAAGTATTCTCTGTCCTTTAAGTAGGATTCAAACCAATTTAGAACTGTTTCCGAAAGTCCCACCCAGTTTTCTAGTCGGTCTAGTAATATGTTGTGGTCAACAGTGTCAAACGCAGACAGATGTAGACAGGGCAAGCAATACACTTCTTAATCTAAAGAGGCAAGACAGCCGTATGATCACTGTCTCTGATTTGAACCTGAAGACTTTCTATCTCCCCGCCATGGCAGAGGACACTGGGCCAGTCTTTCTGTATCTCCTCTCAGCTGTGGGCCCACACTTCTTCACGTCTACGTCACGTGACTATGTTTTGGAGAGAAAAATCTGACACAGGGAGAGATATGTAAACAAGGCGTACTTACATGTGTCCTAACATCAAGAGATTATGATCAGAACATGTATAGACTCTAATGTTTGAATATACTTTTATGTTTATAGTGATGAATAAAGGAATTAGATCAACAATTATTTTACACTGAGGAGATAGCAGAGCTTGAGTGGTCACATCAGAAGGTCACCAGCACACTTCAAGAGGGAGTTCCCATCTTCAGCCTTCCTCGGACGTTTGACCGGAGGGTGACCTGTTCAGGATGAGAGGGGAAAGCCTAATTGGCTCATTAAACAGAGATTACTTCATGGAGGCGGTGCTTCAAGAGAACGTGCAGGAGCTGACACTGATTTGTATTTTAACAGTAAATGTTTGTGGTGTAAAGTGTTTGTCATGAGGAAAGACAAACTGCACTCATACAGATACTTATGTTGCCCTGTAAGTAGGTTTGTAGCAGCTGAGTTGTTCTCTAACTCCGGTTAACAAAGGAAGGAATGAGATCACAGAACATGAAAAGATTGTTGCAAAAAGTATTTATAAAGTGCTCTGTTAATAAGTTGTACAACCAGGTTTCATGATAGCAGCTCAAAACAACAGTTGGACTGTGAAGAGCTGAAAGACTCGTGTCTAAGATATAATGCAATCTGAAGAATGTGTTGGAGAGGATTTGACCACTTTGTGCCTGATGAAGCCACAACGATAGCCACAGCAGAGATTCATTTCTTAGGTTCCCTGGACATACAGTATGTCTGTCAAACAGGATGGTGTTTCTATGAAGGATATGTATTAAAATAAAGATAGCTATTGATCAACCTGTGCATGAAACAATAATATTCATGTGAATAAGTGAAAGAAATGACATGTTCAGTGTTCAAAATGATCCAGCAGTTAAACACATCTTGACTTTGTCTTCATCTTGTGGTGTTTACGGGAAGTGAGACGTGACCATGCAATCACATATTATGATGTGGAGCACATTTTGCACATTTGTACATGTTCTCCTTGAAGACTGGAGGTTACACAATGAATACATGTTATAGTGAAAGTAGTACATCTTGAGTGAAGACTCTCCTACAGAGCAAATCATTCAGACAGTCCGTCATCTATGTGTATAAACCCTCAGTATGTCCTCTTCAATGAGGCTGTTTTATTACACCTTAAATAACACAGCTGATCAACAACTGGATCATTTGGGTTTGAAGTAAATTAAGACAAATTATCAAAGTGATTAACCCTTATGTTGTGTTCGGGTCTCCCGTGACCCGTTTCAAGCTAGAATTATATAATAACTACGCTCTAGTTTTTTTTACCGGAACAAAGCTTCATGAGCTCCACAGCAGATATATAAACACTACAAAACTGATTTTGACAATTTTAGCCAAGTCTGAAGGTCTCTAAAAAAAAAAGTGTATAATTTGGTGTTGGGGTCTGGGGAGACCCAGCAGCATTGTTTTGGGTGACTGGAGGTCAAATTTGGCCCAATCAAGATTCATCTTTGACTTCAGACACCCCTCCCCCCCTTCATCAACTGTAACAATAATTGTTCGCAACATGCACCTGGTCTCCCCTCCCTCTGCCCCCCTCCCCCCACGGGAACTCCACCTTTCTCAAAGAATATGTACACTAACACTTGAACCTGAACACACATGCACGTGTGCAATATGTGGTGTAATGTGTTTTGGGGCCATAACATTAAATTACATCAGGATTGTGCGGTTATGAATGCATAATAAGTTAGTTATGATGTAGTTAAAGCAATATTGGATGATAGTCATTTTTTGTGTGTGTTTTGGACTGAAATAAATCATGGGTCAAAATGGACCCCGACCACCATGAACGGTAACAGCTGTCGAACACAACACGAGGGTTAAAGACGTATTTTGCAGGAAATGATTGTAATGCATTACTATTTTTAGTGTTGAAGCTACTTTGTATTTGTTATAATGCTGCAGTGGAGTTGTATAATGTGAATGTGACTCCTGACAGTTTCTAAGAGAGAATCAAAACAACTCCATCAAACCAAACACGTTGCACAGCTCCAGTATGCCATGCTTTACCCCTCACATGTTTTCTGCTGAGTGTCCTTCATCAGGGTGGGAGCTTCTTTGTTTACAGCAGGTTCATCCGTCACATGACTTCACACAAGCAAACAGATTTCATGAGTTTGGCGTCTATGAATGTAAAGGTTAGAACAGATGTATGAAGAGATGCAATGCAACAAATAAGAAGAGATTAGATCATTACGATATTCAGATTATTTATTTTTTATTGTAAAGGTTTGTTGAACAATTGTCTTTCATCATTTATAGTCTCTGTAATTTGTCACATGGCTTTTTGACAGATGTACCAAAGAAACAGAAATCAACCTCAGACACATTTCTGAATTAAACAGCTGGTTATTTAATCACAAGATATCTGAAGCAGCTTTACAAATACTACACTTAATTATACACAGCTGTTATTCCCTCTAGGTTGATTAGAAATTGATATTTTCAATTACCATAAATGTTATTGTCCATCTATCGAGGACTGAAAATGTCACGAAAGAACATTGTAAGAATGAAATAATGAATTCAAATAAATGTATTAAATGACTTGCTCCCTGCAGTAAAACAACATATCTCAAAATAATTCATCAAAAGACCCAAAGATATAAAAAAGTTAAACTGATAACGTATACTGCTATAACGTGATGTTTGACTCGAAACTAGATCAATCATTCATCGATCATTAAATGAGTCAAATGAAAACTATAAACACACTGTAATAAAGTTTGATGCAAAATAAACTCAATAAACAATCAAGTTGTTTGTTTGTCTTTGACTGACTCTTTGATTATAATGCGTAAAAATGTCATGCAAAGATTAATATCTCATCATCTGTTGATTATGTTCTTGAATGTTCCAAAGAGATGTAGACGGAGAGTGAAGTCAGAATAAAGTCTGAACCAACACTCCTGAGCATCACAGAGGAATCTCACTCACAGATTTTGATATCAGCAGTTTTAGCATCACCAGCTTCTCCAATACTGAACCATGGGAAGAGTTTCTCAGTGAAAGTGTCTCTGTGAGTGCAGATGGGAGTCATGTGTTCAGGGTCGTAGAAGCACACCTCCCCCCTGTCATAGTCCAGCTGGACTCTGATCCTCTGGGGATTCTTCTCCACTCTGACAGTCTCACCATCACCATTAGTGTATCTTCCACTGCTATGTGCTAAACACCAGATTCCATATTTTGGAGAGGCACCTGGTATCTCTCCCTTCCTGTCAACTGACTCTTTAGTCAAACCTATAATCCAGTGAGGATGATCTCCCACCTCCACCTCCCAGCTGTGTTTCCCTGAGCTGAAGCCCTCAGAGCCCAGAACAGTAGCATACTGAGTGCATCTCTCTGGATTATCAGGAAGCTGCTGAACTTTGTCTCCATGTCTCACACTGATCAGATCATCAGACAGAGAGAGCCAGCTGTATGCAGTGTTTGGGTCCAGAAGGACAGGACTGAAGTGGACCTGGTCCTTCATCTTCTCCCAGACTCTGAAGGACAGGTTGCCCAGGTGTTTGGCCACATCTGTCAGCGCTCCTGAGAGCAGCTGTGGGTCTGACAGTGAGCTCTGGACTCTGGCTCTGCTCTGAGTGGCTTTATAACTGCTGAGGAAGGGCACGTTGAGTTTCTGCAGCTCTTCTTCAACAGCAGAGATACTGTGTGACAGAGAGGAGATGTGCTCCTGAATGCTCTTCATCTCTCTGCTGATAGTCTTTCCCTTTCTGCTCCTCTTCCTCCCTCAGAGCTGCCAGTCTGGACTCCTCTTCCTCTTTCAGGAACTGATGGAGCTTGATGAACTCTGCTCTGATCTGCCTCTCTGTGGACAGCAGCTGCTTCTCGGACACTTGAATCACTTCCTTGTATGTTGTCTCCACTCCTTTGTATTTGTCCCTCTTGTCCTGCAGAGACTCTAAGTCAGATTTCAGCAGGTCCTTCAGCTCACTGACTGCTTGTTCTACAGGAACCACCTTGTGACCCTGGTGGAGAGAAAACTCACAGACAGGACACACAGCTCTCTCTTCATCCATACAGAACAATCTAGGCTCTTCTGGATGTTTACTACACACCACCTCCACCTTCTTCTCTCCTTTCTCTGTCTCAGATGATCCAGCTTTCTGTCTCTCAGCAAAGGAGTCAGACAGTTCCTTCAGTCCAAAGTTCACCACAGGATCTTTGTAGGACTTTCTTTTACAAATGGGACAGTTTTTGTTCTTACTTTGTTCCCAGAATGTCTGCAGGCAGCTCGAACAGAAGCTGTGGTTACAGCCCAGAGACACAGGATCTCTGAAAGTCTCTGAACACACATGGCAGCTCAGGAAACTTTCAACAAGAGCGGTTTTCTCAGCCATTTGGTATTAAAGTTATTTCTAGAGCAGGACTCACCAACTTACAGTCTCTCCACTTCTCCCCACATATACTCCAAACGTGTCTCCGAGCAGAAATCTCACACCCTGTAATGGCGTCTCAGCGCTGTTCAACAATGTCTAAATCCACTTTCGTTTTCTCTCACCTCCGTCACAGGGTGAATGATCAACATCAGGAAATGCTGCTATGTCATTTATTCACCAGCAGATGGAGTCAGGATGTCTTTCAGAGGGAAATGTCCTTTGGTATTCAGTTCAGGACGGTGACTTTGTCCAGGTATCTGTTGAAGAAAAACACATACAATTTAACACGTTTAAAAAAACAACAACGTAGGATGAAAAGGAAAATGCTCATATATAAAAGTTTGAAGTGGACAGTTTGTGTTCTTACTTTGTTCCCAGAATGTCTGCAGGCAGCTCGAACAGAAGCTGTGGTTGCAGCTCAGAGACACAAACAAAAACTCACTTCGTTATATCTTCATTCCAATGGAAGGAGAATCTGGCAGTGAGAAAAATATAGCACTTATTGAACATTAGAGCATTTAAACATGTCACAGTAAAAGCACAAAATCCAAATATGAACGTAAAATGAGAATAATATGTCCTTTTTAAAAACTACAATAAAGAGTCGAGCTTTTTCAACAATTTAAGCTGAAATAATTCTAATAACATGATTAGTGAATTAAAATGGGCCTTGTGCTTTCTCCTTCCTTCACGGCCTACAGTTGTGTGGATTTAGAGGACAGTCATCATAATGAAGTCACATGATCTATCCGCTTATCCATCAACTTTCTCACTGAAGCGTACACACACACACACACACACACACACACACACACACACACACACACACACACACAGATGAACGCTGTGTAAACATTACCATGTAAGGAGGGTCTGTGTGTTCTTGCATGATACAATAAAATGCAATATGTAAATAAACAACTCTCTAAATACCTCTCGTCTTTATCCTTCAACAACTGAGAGACTCCAGCTTCAAACGCTTTATCAACACAAAATATTATTATATATGCGCCTGGTCTCAAATAGAGAAAATAAAGAATAATCTAAATATTATAAATAAGAATTACAACAGATACATTGAAGAAAATAATAAATGAAGAATAAGATACATCTAATAAATAAAACCAACAAAAAAAGCCCAATAAAATCAACTGTTGGGGCTCCTGCTCTATTTCACTTATTTTAGGTAATAAGTCTTTCAATCCAGTGACACATGAATTCATTTCATTGGATTCCCTCCAGCAGTGTGTGAAGTGTGAAGTGTGTGTGTGTAGCTTAAATGTAAACAGGAAGTAGCAGCATGAGATGGATCAGTGTGTGGATGAGAGTCAGGATGTGGAGTCAATAAACACACACACACACACACACACACACACACACACACACACACACACACACACACACACACACACACATATATCCTTTACTGAAACAACAGGCAGTGATGTGTGTCAGTGTTTACTTTACCCTCTCTCTCTCTCTCTTACACACACAAACACACACACAAACACACACACAAACACACCTAAAATTTTCATCGGCATAACTACACTGTAGCTATGTTCGTATGACAAAATAAAGAACCTTGAACACACACACACACACACACACATATATCCTTTACTGAAACAACAGGCAGTGATGTGTGTCAGTGTTTACTTTACCTATATACACTCTCTCACACACACACACACACACACACACACACACACACACACACCACACACACACACACACACACCACACACACACACACACACACCACACACAACACACACACACACACACACACACAAACACACACACACATACACACACACAGACACACACACACACCACCACACACACACACACACACACCACACACACACACACACACACACACACACACACACACACACACACCCACACACACACACACACACACACACACACACACACACATACACACACACCACACACACACACACACACACACATATATCCTTTACTAAAACAACAGGCAGTGATGTGTGTCAGTGTTTACTTTACCTATATACACTCTCTCACACACTCTCTCTCACACACACACACACACACACACACACACACACACACCACACACACACACACACAGGCTCGCTGTTCTCAGTTGAACTGAACCTCAGTGTGTGTCAGTTATGAGTCGTATCACATATTAAGCTTTAAACGTGTAAAATAACGTATATCAGGTTTACTGAATGGTTTAAAGGCTTTATTTATAATGTATTTGAGGAGTGTTTGAGGACTGAGTCTTGGCTTTTTCTCCACTCATTTCTGGGTTTTAGGACTCATTCCTGCACCCCTCTGTTATTGTGTTCGCCACCGCTTTATTAGTACGGCAAAACAGCTCTCTAGGAGGAATCTATATACTACTAAATGTGTAAATAACACATGTTGTTGTTGTCCTGAAAGTGTGAGTGGAGGATGTGGAATGTATTGTTGTCATGGAAACTTGTTAGAAGTTATTGTATAGCCAATTTACCTGCCATGCTTCAGCGGCCAATCGGAGGCCATGTTTTTATACGGCTGACATTGTGTTGTGTGTTTAGAATGAGCTGGGTAACCGTGACAACAGGCTAACGGAAGCTAGTGGCTAATGTGACTTAAGTGCGTTTCCATGGAGACGCAAGAAGGAGAGTTAGTCGGTTATACCACAGGATTTAGAGACACTCGTGTTTTCTATACTTCATATTCCTGCAAACTCAACTAATTTAATAACTTAAAGAGGCCCTATTATGCTTCTTGTGTTTTTCCCTCTTGTAGTGTGTTCTATAGATTGAAGTGCATTTAAATGGTCTGCAAAGGCTTACATACCTGTTCTCTCCCCCCCCCCCCCCCCCCCCCCCCCTGCCTGAAACGCCACCATTGGACTCCTTTTTACTTCCTGAACATAGTGACATCCCTATGTAAAACTTGCGCTTCTATTGGCTAGCGCTCCAACACAATGTACGTGATAGACTATGGGGCAGGACATCTCTAAGCGGTTGACCAATCACAACAGAGCCAGCCAGCTAACCAATCAGAGCAGACTGGGTTCTGGTTTCAGTCAGAGGGTGAAAAGAGGTGCTGCAGCACAGACAGTATGAGAAAAATGAAGAGCTTTTTGAACATTAAAGCATCGAGACATGTCCCAGTAGAGACACTACATACTGATATACACCTGAACATCAGCAGGAGAGGACTCTTTAAAGTAGAGACACTACATACTGATATACACCTGAACATCAGCAGGAGAGGACTCTTTAAAGTAGAGACACTACATACTGATATACACCTGAACATCAGCAGGAGAGAACTCTTTAAAGTAGAGACACTACATACTGATATACACCTGAACATCAGCAGGAGAGAACTCTTTAAAGTAGAGACACTACATACTGATATACACCTGAACATCAGCAGGAGAGGACTCTTTAAAGTAGAGACACTACATACTGATATACACCTGAACATTAGCAGGAGAGGACTCTTTAAAGTAGAGACACTACATACTGATATACACCTGAACATCAGCAGGAGAGAACTCTTTAAAGTAGAGACACTACATACTGATATACACCTGAACATCAGCAGGAGAGGACTCTTTAAAGTAGAGACACTGCATACTGATATACACCTGAACATCAGTAGGAGAGGACTCTTTAAAGTAGAGACACATACTGATATACACCTGAACATCAGCAGGAGAGGACTCTTTAAAGTAGAGACACTGCATACTGATATACACCTGAACATCAGTAGGAGAGGACTCTTTAAAGTAGAGACACATACTGATATACACCTGAACATCAGTAGGAGAGGACTCTTTAAAGTAGAGACACATACTGATATATACCTGAACATCAGCAGGAGAGAACTCTTTAAAGTAGAGACACTACATACTGATATACACCTGAACATCAGCAGGAGAGGACTCTTTAAAGTAGAGACACTACATACTGATATACACCTGACCATCAGCAGGAGAGGACTCTTTAAAGTAGAGACACTACATACTGATATACACCTGAACATTAGCAGGAGAGGACTCTTTAAAGTAGAGACGCTACATACTGATATACACCTGAACATCAGCAGGAGAGGACTCTTTAAAGTAGAGACACTACATACTGATATACACCTGAACATCAGCAGGAGAGGACTCTTTAAAGTAGAGACACTGCATACTGATATACACCTGAACATCAGTAGGAGAGGACTCTTTAAAGTAGAGACACATACTGATATACACCTGAACATCAGCAGGAGAGGACTCTTTAAAGTAGAGACACTGCATACTGATATACACCTGACCATCAGCAGGAGAGGACTCTTTAAAGTAGAGACACTACATACTGATATACACCTGAACATCAGCAGGAGAGGACTCTTTAAAGTAGAGACACTACATACTGATATACACCTGAACATCAGCAGGAGAGGACTCTTTAAAGTAGAGACACTACATACTGATATACACCTGAACATCAGCAGGAGAGGACTCTTTAAAGTAGAGACACTACATACTGATATACACCTGAACATCAGCAGGAGAGGACTCTTTAAAGTAGAGACACTACATACTGATATACACCTGAACATCAGCAGGAGAGGACTCTTTAAAGTAGAGACACTACATATTGATATACACCTGAACATCAGCAGGAGAGGACTCTTTAAAGTAGAGACACTACATATTGATATACACCTGAACATCAGCAGGAGAGGACTCTTTAAAGTAGAGACACTACATACTGATATACACCTGAACATCAGCAGGAGAGAACTCTTTAAAGTAGAGACACTACATACTGATATACACCTGAACATCAGCAGGAGAGAACTCTTTAAAGTAGAGACACTACATACTGATATACACCTGAACATTAGCAGGAGAGGACTCTTTAAAGTAGAGACACTACATACTGATATACACCTGAACATCAGCAGGAGAGGACTCTTTAAAGTAGAGACACTACATACTGATATACACCTGACCATCAGCAGGAGAGGACTCTT